CACCGCGTTGATCCTCTGCACCTTAGTCGTTCCAACGTCAAAAGTCTCTGTGCTACGCTTGGTCGGTGACGCGGGCGACTCGTCAGAAAGTCGCGGCCTCGAACCAGGGGGCTGAGGCAAAGCTGCGTCTGTACTCGACCTTGCTTGCGCTGCATTTGCAGTTTGCTCATCCAAAGTCAAGCGTGGAGGCTCAAACTCAGGCGGAGGCAAGGGCGGTTCTTGCTCTACATCAGAAAAGTAATCTTCCGGAAGGTCCGAAAGATCGTCACGAGCCGGAACAGGCTCTGTGCCATCTAAGCCCAAAGCTTCTTCCAACTCTGGGTCTGAAAGTTCATAGTTTGGCACATCATTGCCTTTTTCAGGAGGACCAGAAAGTGGCCCAGACGGTGGCAAAGCTGGGTTTGTCGCCTCCTCGGACTGCTGCATCGGAAAGATGAAGGAGTCCGTTTCCACCTTTGCACCGGTTGGGTCCCAAGGACGCGCGGTAACCGACTGCAAAAGTGCCGCGTCAGACTGCTGGGTGGGGGGGAGGCGTTTCAAGGAACGCGTCTTGTAAACCCCACGAGAGTCAGCGACAAAGTGTTGCTCCGACTCTGTGTCTTTACCAAGCCAAATGCCACGCTCAAAAGCCGGCTTGCCTTTGTTGACACGCTGTTTTCGGAAAAGTACGGTCTCTCCAAAGCGGCATATGAAGCCGTTGTACCGCTTTCCCCAGCGTCTCTCAAAAGCAGTAGTGCCAGCAGCGTTGCAAAGGTAACGGTTGACAAGCCACTGCGCGTGGCGCACAAGCCAAGTGAAAAGCGCTGAGTGAACCGACAGATCAACTTGGTAACGCTGCAAAAGCTCAAGCCGCAAAGCCTTGATCTGTCCATACAAAGTTGCTTGCATGTTTCCAACGGAACCCTGAGCTTGCTTCCAGCCTGTCGGGGTACTCCGCAAAGAAAGTCCACCGACTTCGCCTGTTACAGCTTCCGCGATGGCTTTCAAAGCTGGCTCTGGGTCGCATTGCAAGATTCCGAAAGTACGTCCGGTTTCTAGAACAAAGCGTCTCAACTCTGCATGGGAGTACGGTGTGCGAGCCTTTGTGGGAATCACCACTGAAAGTGCCATGTTCGAGAGAACATCGACAACGTTAAGTATGGTGACCTGTTCCTCACCAGGCTTATCTGAAAGAAAGCTAAAGTCCATCTGCAGGACGGGCTGTCTCAACGAAAGTTTCTTACTGTGAGCCTGCCTGCTCTTAGCTTTCAAACAAATTTCACACCACGGCTTGAACGGCAAGTGAGTGAGCTCATGCTCCAGCCTTTCTGTTAAAGTTGGCTCGCCGGGCTGCTTCAAGCCCTTCGGCCTCTGAGCCAAGTACTCTGGCTGAGCTGGCTCTGCTTCAAAGGCTTCAAGTGGCAACTTCTCAAAACAAGTAGCGCCAACAAAGTCTTGCGTCACTTCCTGCGCGCCGTGTTTGCGCCACAAGTCAAAATGCCACGTTGGCTCTGCATCAGGACGCATGATCAAAGTCATGCGCGCATTGCCCAACTCTTCTTCAAAGTGCGGGTCTTCTGGCACATACAAGGTGTTCCGAGACACGTAGTGAACACGAACCCAAAACAACTGAAAGTTCAGCCAACGGTCGTGCGTGAAGGCTTCTCCAGTTGCAGGGTCCTTCTCCGAAAGCTGTTCCACCAGGGCCTTCTGGAAGTCAGGCAAAGTGCCGGAAGCGGCCTGCGCCAAACGCAGACGGAAAGTGTCCTCTGCAGAACGGTCCTTTGGTGGTTTAGGCTTTTCTGCTAAAGTGTCTTGCGGCTGCGCGAGGGCTTTTGGGACAGGTTGGGGAAAAGTTGACTGCTTGCCAGCGAGTCTACGACCCGTGGATTTGGAGGAAAGTTTAAATACAGTACGACCAACAAAGCGTCCAGAAGACTTCCCTTTGGGATCCTTAGACGTTCGCCAGTTATCGTGCAAAGTTTCTTTTCTGCCATCTTCGTACGTAAGGTAAGTGACACGCTCATCAGCTAAGGACTCGAGCTCAACTGGCCTATCTTTCGTCCCTTCAGGAGAAAAGAAAGTCGCTCTAGATCTTTTGTGTATTCTTGTGAGGGTGTTACCCGAAAGTTCCCAGCGATCAGCATTGTAGTAAACGGGGTTAAACTGGGTTGGAGCAATCAAAGTACCTTGTTCATTGGAGTCGTGAAGAAGGTTGCAAACTTCAACAAACTCATCCTTGTTGAAAGCTCCCAAAGTAGGCCGAAGGAACAAAAGTGACCCTTGTCTGATTATTGGAACTTGGTTTCCATCAGGGGTTGAAAGTACCTGAGACTCTCTTGTCATCGTCACTTGAAAGCCTTGTCTCAAAAGTCTTCCAACCGAAACCACACAGTACGGTACGTCGCATACGTAAAAGTGAAGAAAGCAAGGCTGACCGTCAAAGTCAAGCTTCACAAGCCTTCTACCGTAAACCGTCAAGGGTTGACCCGAAATGGATCTCAAAGGCGGTGGCTTCCCTGAAAGTGGCAAAAGCGGCCACTCCGAAGCAAAGTCCTGAGGACAGCAATGGGTCGCTGCTCCTGAATCAAAAAGTATCCAGGGCTCATTCTCGTCAAAGGTGGCTGCAACCAAATGTTCCTCCAAAGCATGATCCCGGAATGTTGTGTTCAGGTTCGACACTCCAAGATCGTACACACTGAAAAGTTTCTGAGGCACCGAGTCGTTTCGGTTCAGCGAAAAGGTTTCCAACGGCGCCATGCCAACCGACGAAAAGGTCACACGCTTCTCGCCATACGAAAAGTCAACATCACCAGTCAACATGCCTTCAAAACCAAACGACTGACTAACACCAAAGTTGCCAAGCACGAGTGCCGACATCAAGAACGAGCTCGGGGAAAGTGAGCTCTTGGCCTTAGGTTTGGGCGCTGCCTTGGAAAGTCCTGGAGGGGCTGTCACAGTGACAGCTGAAACTGGAGCCTGCTGAGCTCCATGCTGCAAAGTTGACTCTTCCTTAGGCTTCTGAGGCTGTTGCGGTGACAAAGTCTCCTTTGAGGAGGTGGCTTCAGGCCACCACTCATTCCAACCTGCAAAGTCCTGATACGAATACCAGTCCCAGGAATCCCACGAGGAATCCCAAAGTGAGTCATCCCATGACTCCCAACTCTCATCGAAAAGTGCTCCGACTGTCCACTCAGACCAGTCGTCCCAAGGGGCCTCACCAAAGTAAGACTCTTCTTCCTGGAGACCGTAAAGTTCACTCTCTTCTCCCTCAACAGCATTCACTCTGTTCAGCGGACACTTGCTAGCAAAGTGACCTGACTTACCACATGTCCAGCACAAGGCACTCGAAGATGCCGAAGCACCCGCCGACGAACCAAAGTTCTTTCCTTTGCCTTTGCTTTTCCCTTTCAAACTTCCGAAAAAGTTCCAGTGGGGGCCTTTCTTGCCTTTTCCTTTGCCTTTCATGGGACCAAAGTCCTTTCCTTTTCCTTTCTTTCCTTTGCCCTTTCCTTTTCCTTTTCCTTTCTTTCCTTTGCCCTTTCCTAGATACCCAATGTCCATGGGCGCTTGTCCGCCTCCTGCGAAAGTGGTCGAGGCAGAGGTCTGCGCTAACGGATTCACCAAAAGTCTAGACCTGTAGTACTCCAAGATGACCTCGCGAACCTGCTCATACGTTTGCAAAGTTTTGGCGTTCAAGCGAAGATGCTGCTGCAAAGCTCCTGTTGTCTTGTTCAGCAAAGTAGCTACCAAAACACCATCTGGCAAAGCTTGACCTGCCTGTTTCTCGTACTTCACCTTGATTGTTTCCCAAACGTTAAAGTCCTGCTCAAACGTGTTTGGACCAAACCTGAAATCCAAAAGTTGCGTGAGCAAAGCTGTCGACCTGGTTGCATCAGGCAAGGCAAACTTGTTGAAAAGTCTTCTCCAGGTCTCAAAGCCATTCGACCCGACGTTCTGACGAACGACAAGTTTCGCCGAATCCTTCACAAGCTGAGAAAGTAGATAGTGCAACTTGCGACTGAAAAGTACACGACTACGCGTTGCATCAACATCCACATCACCTGTGTCCAAAGTTACTTCAAGGTGTGCATCTGTGAACTCGGTTGTCAAAGCTTCGGCATTGTCGAGCAAAGTCACTGCGCCTGCTTCGAACATCGAAATGTACGCTTTAAAGTTCCATGACCATTCTTCCCAGTCTGCAGGCTGACCGGAAAAGTTGTCTGGGAGAGGAAGCCTAAGCTTTCCTGCAAAGTCACCATCTTCTCCTAGAGCTGCCATTCTACCAAAGTCCTAGAGCTTTCAGCTCCGCTACCATGCGAAATTGCGAGGTAGCCAAAGTCTACACAAACAACCCTAAAGTGATCGTGCAACCTCAGCCAACCTCAACACTCAAAGTTCCTATGATGCCTCGGCCTTTTCTCTCTGGGCAAAGTTGTGCTTGAGCCACCAAAGTGGCAGATCATGAGTAGGGCTCATCTGGGGAGGAAAAGTGTGATTATAATTTCACACAAACTGCGAAATTGCGAGGTAGCCAAAGTCTACACAAACAACCCTAAAGTGATCGTGCAACCTCAGCCAACCTCAACACTCAAAGTTCCTATGATGCCTCGGCCTTTTCTCTCTGGGCAAAGTTGTGCTTGAGCCACCAAAGTGGCAGATCATGAGTAGGGCTCATCTGGGGAGGAAAAGTGTGATTATAATTTCACACGCCTCCTTGGACTAAAGTTGCTTTAACTTTCGTCCACACTCAATCACACACCCGCTTCAAAGTACGAACCACAATATCAGCAAACAAAGTTCGAAGAAATGTTTTACTCGAAAGTCGGGGGAATCAGCTGATTCGCAAAAGCTGCCATCTTCAAAGTGGCTGTTAAAAAGATCGTTGTGCTCTTCAAAGTTGTGGTGCTTGCGAAAGGTATTATGAATCGGCCCAAAGTGCAGCGATTCTGGCTGTCTGAAATACCAAAGTGCCCAAAGTCGGCATATCGAAATGCAGCGACTCGAAAAGTGGCACATCTTCACATCCTGGAGCCACGACGCAAAGTGGGGATATCCAAGTGCATCGGCGCAACGCCCTCGTCTGGAAAGTTTGAGAGCTCTTGGTACAGCCGAGATAAAAGTGGGAGGTGCATAAGGCGCGAGTGCCTGCAGTCAGGCCTGTCAAAGTAGGTGTTGAGATTGTCACAAAGCTCGTACGGGTGAATGCGGTGCAACAAAGTGACAATCGTTCGGCAAGTAGGCTCCCACATAAAGTTCAGGCTCTGAACTTTGAGAAAGTAATCCACATATCGCCTATTCCATAGACGATTTCCATTGATGGTGATTAACCGAGTAAAGTCTTGTAGCAAAAGTCGGACTCCAATCGTGATCAACTGCTCTCCTGGCATAAAAGTCACACGATCAAGTCCCTGTTGCAAGGAGATAGACAGTCCAAATGACCAAAATAAAAGTGACGATCTCGGAGACAAAGTGAGGTTCAGGCAATCCACCATAGTTCCCACCATTGCTGCAGATGGCAAGACAAAGTTTCCTGACCTCTGAGCTGCAGATGCAACCGTCAACCAAAGTCCTGTAGGTAGAGTAAGCCACAGCTGAAAAGGAACCCAATCCTGCCGAAAAGTGGGGCGTTCCGGTGTCCAGAACCCCACAAAAGTCCTCTGCAGCACCTCCAACTCAGGAGGTGTATAAAGTCCCAAAGTGGCCGCATACTGGATCAAAGGATAAAGCTTCTGAAACATTTCCGCCGGCGATGAAAGTGGCAGATAAAGTTGCTCCTTCTGCAGCCCATTCCACAAGGTTTCAAGAACCAGCTGCAGACTCAGCCACGTGCGATACGTGCTAAAGTCCACGTCACGGCTCTGAGCTGGTGTAAAGCGATCCATCGCCTCAAAGTCTGCTGCGCGGCTCCACCGCGTGCAAAGTTGCGAGAACTGTCTCTGGACGTCTCACACCTTTAAAGTGCCATGGCGCGCGGGCGCACAAGAGCATCAAAGTGTTTCGAGAGAAGCACCAGAGGGGCGCGAGGCAAAGTAAACCACAAACGCCAAAGAAACCCCGAACACCCCAAAAAGGTCAAAGTTGGCTGGGGTCGAATTTATGTACATTAAAAGACTAAAGTTAAAATGCGCCCGAACAGCGCGAGTTCGCGTGGAGAAAGTGCGCGCGTTCGCGCGTGGCGGCGAAGGTTTCGTGCCTGAAAACTGAAAAAGTTGCGCGCGCGTACGCGAGCCGAGTGCGCCGAATGCGCCGAAAGTTGACATGACTGAACATGACTGCAAAGCACACGTCTGCACTGCACAGCACTGCAAAGTACATGTCTGCAAAAGTGACATGTCCGCACAAGACAGCACAAGTGACATGAAAGACATGAAAAGTGACATGACTGTACACACACACCAAGAGTGACATGTCCGCAAAAGTACGTGTTTCTCTCCTCTCACACTCTCTCTTCTTTCTGTCTTTCTCAAAGTGGAAAACCAAAAGTAGGCAGATGCCTGTGCAAGGTTTCTTTGGGAACATACTTCGTCAAGATATCAGCTGGGTTCAAAGTTCCCAACACTTTCTTTACACGCACCATACCTGAGGCAACAAGTTCTTGAACGTAAAGAAAGCGAAGCTCCACGTGCTTCGTCTTACGGGATGCCCCAAAGCGCGAAACTATGCTTTTACCAACGTTGGAGTCGGTCCAGATACAAAGGTTTGCTTTCGGGAAAAGTTTCGCCTCCTCGATCAGAGACTTCAGGAAAAGTGCATCAGCGGTTCCTGAGCCTATCGCGTACAGCTCGGCTTCTCCACTCGAAAGTGCTACCGCGGCTTGTGTCCTACTGTGCGACAAAATGTTCGCACCCAACATGAAAAGTGACACACCCGAAGTGGATCTACGACTGTCTGCGCAGCCAGCCCAATCGGAATCTACGTAAATGTTGATGTCTATGGCTTTGTGTTGTGGGGAAAGTTGTAGGGTAGGTTGAAGACGTTGCGAAAAGTTCTTCGTACCAGCAAGGTACTTCAAAAGGTGCTTGGCCTTGGCTTCATGCTCTGAGGTCGGGGCAGAAAGTCCTCGACTGAGCTCCTTTACTGCATACATGATGTCTGGGCGTACACTCGAAAGCCACAAAAGTTGGCCTACGATGCGCCGGTAGCGCTTGTGCGCTTCCGCGTCCAGAGGCTCAACATTCAACTGCTTTCGCAAAGTGTCTGTGCCCGGAGCAAGGACTGGCTTACAACCTGAAAGTCCTGCCGTCTCAAGCATACGATCAATGTACGCAGGGTTCATGCCAACAAGTACGGCGTCGTTCGTTCTTTGAAGCTCACGGCCAAGGAAAGTCACCGATTGACCTTCGTCCAAAGTGCCTGTCATCTTCAACAACAGGTCTTTCTGCAACTCCGCGACCGAAAGTTCAACATCTGGTTTTGAACCAAAGAACATGAGGTCGTCAACATAAGCAAGCACGTAAAGTTGCTTGGTCTCATGCACATAAAGGTTTGGGTCTGACTTGACCCTGCGAAAGCCATTCTTCTTCATGACTGACGCAAAGTGCTCTTGCCAAAGCTTTGGAGAGTGCTTAAGACCATAAAGCGCCTTCTTCAACTTCCAAAGCGTGCAGCCATCTGGGTAAAACTCGAGCGGGGGTATGACGTAAAAGTCATCATCCACAGCAGCGTGCAAGAAAGCTGTGGAAATGTCACCCACTGCTATGTGCCATCCTCTGGCTACAGCCAAAGTAAGCAAAAGCTTCAAGGTGGTGAGCGAAGGCGTCGAGGCGAAAGTCTCATCCTTGTCATTGACTTCTTGCGTGTAGCCTCGAACTACAAGTCGACAGCGCACAGTGCCGTCGGACTTGCGGACCTTAACCCACCGCGTCGAAATGACCTTGTCTAAACGTGCTTGGGGAATGTCCTTGTAGTGAACTTCTTCGAAAACATCGAAAGTCGTCATAGACTTCATCTCCTTTTTCATCCCTTCTACTTCTTCAACGAGCGGAAACTCGGTTTCATACCACAAGTACGGGTTTTCCAGGGTCTTCATCAGCAAAAGTTCTTTTTCATCCTGGTTTATTGCTACAGGAACTTCAAGGTCGTTCTTGGTTGTGACTGCAGCAACACGAAGGTAACAAAGTGGCTTGGGTATGCGCTTCCTACCGCTGTAGAAAGTCACCGCGTTGATCCTCTGCACCTTAGTCGTTCCAACGTCAAAAGTCTCTGTGCTACGCTTGGTCGGTGACGCGGGCGACTCGTCAGAAAGTCGCGGCCTCGAACCAGGGGGCTGAGGCAAAGCTGCGTCTGTACTCGACCTTGCTTGCGCTGCATTTGCAGTTTGCTCATCCAAAGTCAAGCGTGGAGGCTCAAACTCAGGCGGAGGCAAGGGCGGTTCTTGCTCTACATCAGAAAAGTAATCTTCCGGAAGGTCCGAAAGATCGTCACGAGCCGGAACAGGCTCTGTGCCATCTAAGCCCAAAGCTTCTTCCAACTCTGGGTCTGAAAGTTCATAGTTTGGCACGTCATTGCCTTTTTCAGGAGGACCAGAAAGTTGCCCAGACGGTGGCAAAGCTAGGTTTGTCGCCTCCTCGGACTGCTGCATCGGAAAGATGAAGGAGTCCGTTTCCACCTTTGCACCGGTCGGGTCCCAAGGACGCGCGGTAACCGACTGCAAAAGTGCCACGTCTGACTGCTGGGTGGGGGGGAGGCGTTTCAAGGAACGCGTCTTGTAAACCCCGCGAGAGTCAGCGACAAAGTGTTGCTCCGACTCTGTGTCTTTTCCAAGCCAAACGCCACGCTCAAAAGCCGGCTTGCCTTTGTTGACACGCTGTTTTCGGAAAAGTACGGTCTCTCCAAAGCGGCATATGAAGCCGTTGTACCGCTTTCCCCAGCGTCTCTCAAAAGCAGTAGTGCCAGCAGCGTTGCAAAGGTAACGGTTGACAAGCCACTGCGCGTGGCGCACAAGCCAAGTGAAAAGCGCTGAGTGAACCGACAGATCAACTTGGTAACGCTGCAAAAGCTCAAGCCGCAAAGCCTTGATCTGTCCATACAAAGTTGCTTGCATGTTTCCAACGGAACCCTGAGCTTGCTTCCAGCCTGTCGGGGTACTCCGCAAGGAAAGTCCACCGACTTCGCCTGTTACAGCTTCCGCGATGGCTTTCAACGCTGGCTCTGGGTCGCATTGCAAGATTCCGAAAGTACGTCCGGTTTCTAGAACAAAGCGTCTCAACTCTGCATGGGAGTACGGTGTGCGAGCCTTTGTGGGAATCACCACTGAAAGTGCCATGTTCGAGAGAACATCGACAACGTTAAGTATGGTGACCTGTTCCTCACCAGGCTTATCTGAAAGAAAGCTAAAGTCCATCTGCAGGACGGGCTGTCTCAACGAAAGTTTCTTACTGTGAGCCTGCCTGCTCTTAGCTTTCAAACAAATTTCACACCACGGCTTGAACGGCAAGTGAGTGAGCTCATGCTCCAGCCTTTCTGTTAAAGTTGGCTCGCCGGGCTGCTTCAAGCCCTTCGGCCTCTGAGCCAAGTACTCTGGCTGAGCTGGCTCTGCTTCAAAGGCTTCAAGTGGCAACTTCTCAAAACAAGTAGCGCCAACAAAGTCTTGCATCACTTCCTGCGTGCCGTGTTTGCGCCACAAGTCAAAGTGCCACGTTGGCTCTGCATCAGGACGCATGATCAAAGTCATGCGCGCATTGCCCAACTCTTCTTCAAAGTGCGGGTCTTCTGGCACATACAAGGTGTTCCGAGACACGTAGTGAACACGAGCCCAAAACAACTGAAAGTTCAGCCAACGGTCGTGCGTGAAGGCTTCTCCAGTTGCAGGGTCCTTCTCCGAAAGCTGTTCCACCAGGGCCTTCTGGAAGTCAGGCAAAGTGCCCGAAGCGGCCTGCGCCAAACGCAGACGGAAAGTGTCCTCTGCGGAATGGTCCTTTGGTGGTTTAGGCTTTTCTGCTAAAGTGTCTTGCGGTTGTGCGAGGGCTTTTGGAACAGGTTGGGGAAAAGTTGACTGCTTGCCAGCGAGTCTACGACCCGTGGATTTGGAGGAAAGTTTAAAGACAGTACGACCAACAAAGCGTCCAGAAGACTTCCGTTTGGGATCTTTAGACGTTCGCCAGTTATCATGCAAAGTTTCTTTTCTGCCATCTTCGTACGTAAGGTAAGTGACACGCTCATCAGCTAAGGACTCGAGCTCAACTGGCCTATCGTTCGTCCCTTCAGGAGAAAAGAAAGTCGCTCTAGATCTTTTGTGTATTCTTGTGAGGGTGTTACCCGAAAGTTCCCAACGATCAGCATTGTAGTAAACGGGGTTAAACTGGGTTGGAGCAATCAAAGTACCTTGTTCATTGGAGTCGTGAAGAAGGTTGCAAACTTCAACAAACTCATCCTTGTTGAAAGCTCCCAAAGTAGGCCGAAGGAACAAAAGTGACCCTTGTCTGACTATTGGAACTTGGTTTCCATCAGGGGTTGAAAGTACCTGAGACTCTCTTGTCATCGTCACTTGAAAGCCTTGTCTCAAAAGTCTTCCAACCGAAACCACACAGTACGGTACGTTGCATACGTAAAAGTGAAGAAAGCAAGGCTGACCGTCAAAGTCAAGCTTCACAAGCCTTCTACCGTAAACCGTCAAGGGTTGACCCGAAATGGATCTCAAAGGCGGTGGCTTCCCTGAAAGTGGCAAAAGCGGCCACTCCGAAGCAAAGTCCTGAGGACAGCAATGGGTCGCTGCTCCTGAATCAAAAAGTATCCAGGGCTCATTCTCGTCAAAGGTGGCTGCAACCAAATGTTCCTCCAAAGCATGATCCCGGAATGTCGTGTTCAGGTTCGACACTCCAAGATCGTACACACTGAAAAGTTTCTGAGGCACCGAGTCGTTTCGATTCAGCGAAAAGGTTTCCAACGGCGCCATGCCAACCGACGAAAAGGTCGCACGCTTCTCGCCATACGAAAAGTCAACATCACCAGTCAACATGCCTTCAAAACCAAACGACTGACCAACACCAAAGTTGCCAAGCACGAGTGCCGACATCAAGAAAGAGCTCGGGGAAAGTGAGCTCTTGGCCTTAGGTTTGGGCGCTGCCTTGGAAAGTCCTGGAGGGGCTGTCACAGTGACAGCTGAAACTGGAGCCTGCTGAGCTCCATGCTGCAAAGTTGACTCTTCCTTAGGCTTCTGAGGCTGTTGCGGTGACAAAGTCTCCTTTGAGGAGGTGGCTTCAGGCCACCACTCATTCCAACCTGCAAAGTCCTGATACGAATACCAGTCCCAGGAATCCCACGAGGAATCCCAAAGTGAGTCATCCCATGACTCCCAACTCTCATCGAAAAGTGCTCCGACTGTCCACTCAGACCAGTCGTCCCAAGGGGCCTCACCAAAGTAAGACTCTTCTTCCTGGAGACCGTAAAGTTCACTCTCTTCTCCCTCAACAGCATTCACTCTGTTCAGCGGACACTTGCTAGCAAAGTGACCTGACTTACCACATGTCCAGCACAAGGCACTCGACGATGCCGAAGCACCCGACGACGAACCAAAGTTCTTTCCTTTGCCTTTGCTCTTTCCTTTCAAACTTCCGAAAAAGTTCCAGTGGGGGCCTTTCTTGCCTTTTCCTTTGCCTTTCATGGGACCAAAGTCCTTTCCTTTTCCTTTCTTTCCTTTGCCCTTTCCTTTTCCTTTTCCTTTCTTTCCTTTGCCCTTTCCTAGATACCCAATGTCCATGGGCGCTTGTCCGCCTCCTGCGAAAGTGGTCGAGGCAGAGGTCTGCGCTAACGGATTCACCAAAAGTCTAGACCTGTAGTACTCCAAGATGACCTCGCGAACCTGCTCATACGTTTGCAAAGTTTTGGCGTTCAAGCGAAGATGCTGCTGCAAAGCTCCTGTTGTCTTGTTCAGCAAAGTAGCTACCAAAACACCATCTGGCAAAGCTTGACCTGCCTGTTTCTCGTACTTCACCTTGATTGTTTCCCAAACGTTAAAGTCCTGCTCAAACGTGTTTGGACCAAACCTGAAATCCAAAAGTTGCGTGAGCAAAGCTGTCGACCTGGTTGCATCAGGCAAGGCAAACTTGTTGAAAAGTCTTCTCCAGGTCTCAAAGCCATTCGACCCGACGTTCTGACGAACGACAAGTTTCGCCGAATCCTTCACAAGCTGAGAAAGTAGATAGTGCAACTTGCGACTGAAAAGTACACGACTACGCGTTGCATCAACATCCACATCACCTGTGTCCAAAGTTACTTCAAGGTGTGCATCTGTGAACTCGGTTGTCAAAGCTTCGGCATTGTCGAGCAAAGTCACTGCGCCTGCTTCGAACATCGAAATGTACGCTTTAAAGTTCCATGACCATTCTTCCCAGTCTGCAGGCTGACCGGAAAAGTTGTCTGGGAGAGGAAGCCTAAGCTTTCCTGCAAAGTCACCATCTTCTCCTAGAGCTGCCATTCTACCAAAGTCCTAGAGCTTTCAGCTCCGCTACCATGCGAAATTGCGAGGTAGCCAAAGTCTACACAAACAACCCTAAAGTGATCGTGCAACCTCAGCCAACCTCAACACTCAAAGTTCCTATGATGCCTCGGCCTTTTCTCTCTGGGCAAAGTTGTGCTTGAGCCACCAAAGTGGCAGATCATGAGTAGGGCTCATCTGGGGAGGAAAAGTGTGATTATAATTTCACACAAACAAACAAACAAACAAACAAACAAACAAACAAACAAACAAACACACACACACACACACACACACACACTCACACTCACACTCACACTCATGCACATAGACGAACATGCACACATACAAACATACACACGTACGTACGTACTAGCATGCATACACATCTACATGCCATTCACCCACCAAAACCCGCCCACCCGCCTAGGGAAACAAGCAAGCAAGCAAGGTCGCCCAGCCCTCGGACGCGTGGACGTATGGACGTGAATGCACGGATGCGGCATGCACACGCCACAAACACATTGCAAAGGCCGGCGTAGAACAGCTCCTGCATGAGCTTCAGGGCTTCAGGTCTAGTGTTCGGAGGTTTGTGGCTTCGTGCTTGAGGCGTTGGGTTTCAGAGCCCTTGCTGAAAACCTCGGGGTGAGAAATCAGGGCCAATCCCAAACTGTGTGGACAGTGTTCAGGGAAGGTCGGTCCTGAATCGTGGCATCTGAAAGGAACCGCAGCAAGCGGGACGTTTTCGCCTTCAGCTCGGCTGATCCCAAGCTTACTTCCCAGCGTCCGGACATGCCTCTGAAGCTTACACCCATGCTATAGGGTTTAGGGTTTAGGGTTTAGGGTTTAGGGTTTCGGGTTTCGGGTTTCGGGTTTCGGGTTTGGGGTTTAGGGTTTAGGGTTTAGGGTTTAGGGTAGCGAACAGCGGACCTCCCAAATCAGATGGTCAAGCTTCGGGCCCCTGTGCTGTACGTTACGGTAGCTGCCTGAATTTGTGACCTCCTTTCGGTTGATGAGTTTAGGGGGTTTGGGGTGTAGGGTTTAGGACTTCGGGGATTTCGGGTTCAGGGTTTAGGGGCTTTAGGGTCAGGGTGTAGGGGGCAACCCCAAACCCTAAATCCCAAACCCCAAACCCTACCGTTTTGTGGCGATCGGGGCTGCATAACCTGGACACCAGAGATGAGTTGACCATAACCCTGAACCCCTCCGGGCCTCTAGGCAGCTTAGACAGTAGAGGGTTTAGGGTTTAGGGTTTAGGGTTTAGGGTTTAGCGTTTAGGGTTTAGGGTTTAGGTAAACCCTAAGCCCGAAACCCCAGGACCTAGCACCCTGAAATTTAGTGTTCATATTTATGGTTTTGCTGAACCTTTAGGGTTCAGGGTTCAGGGTTCAGGGTTCAGGGTGTAGGGTGTAGGGTGTAGGGTGTAGGGTTTAGGGTTTAGGGTTTAGGGTCTAGGGTTTAAGGTTTAGGGTTTAGGGTTTAGGGGTTTTGGGGTTTAGGGGTTTTGGGGTTTAGGGGTGTAGGGGTTTAGGGTTTAGGGTTTAGGGTTTAGGGTTTAGGGTTTAGGGTTTAGGGTTTAGGGTTTAGGGTTTAGGGTTTAGCCTATTTGTGAGGGTCAAGCAGGGCTGGATTCTGGGGCTGCGGCTATTTGCGCTGTGCTCATCTTGTGTCCGAGTGATTTGACTGCAGCTTTGTCAGCCTCGGGGGTTTAGGGTTTAGGGTTTAGGGTTTAGGGCTTAGGGCTTAGGGCTTAGGGCTTAGGGCTTAGGGCTTAGGGTTTAGGGCTGGTGCGGTCTAGAGGCTTGGAGCTTTGAATTAAGGGCTTTAAGGTGAGGGCCTTTTTCAGCGTGGAGTAGTCGCCTTGCAGGAGCTCCACACGCAACTTAGGGGTCTAGGGCTTCCCGATTGAACCCTAAACCCTAAACCCTAAACCCTAAACCCTAAAGCATGGTTTCAGGGCTTAGGGCTGAAGGCTTAGCCGAGATGGGGCTTGGAAATGGACAGGATGGCCCTCCCCAAGCCCTTGGCCATTCAGGTCCAAACAAGACGAGGGTCGGAAAGGTCGACATTCTGAGCGTAATTCCATGGTCACTTGAGATGGGCAAAGGGGGGACAAGGCTGGCTGATAGCTGCAAAGCATAAGCTGGCCATGCTTTCGAACCCCTCGTGGGCCCCCTTATACATCTCCCATAAACCCCAAGGGCCCATACTTCAGAACCCTTGTAATGTTGGACCCTGTTTAGTAGGGGGGGGCCTCCTTAAAGTCAAATTGGCCGAATTATTCAGGAGCCCCTGACTGTTTGGGGGGTCCTCTTTAAAGTCAAATCGTCCAGGCGCCGTAAGAAAATTCCACGTGGCGCGGCTTTAAAAAAGATAACCGGGCATCGCTGCCTTTTAAACCTATCTAAACTCCTCCCTATTAAAATCATATAAGCCCCCGGGGCCGTGTAATCAGGATCCCATCCACGCCTCGACTGTTCAGGGGGGGGGGGGCCCTACACATTAAAGAGGGTCCCACATTAAGATGGACACTTAAAGGCTATGCTGCACGTGCGTGCCTTGTAAACAACTACTTTACAAAGGAACCACCCGCAGAATAGACGCAATGCACCCTTAGCGTCAGCGCACTGAGTCCTGGGCGGGGGAGCGGAGGGCGCGGAGGCGCGCAGGGTGCGGAGGGCGCGGAGAGCGAGGAGGGTGCGGAGGGCGCAGAGGGCGCAGAGCACGCGGAGGGCGGGGAGTGCACGGAGGGCGGGGAGGGCGCGGAGCGCGCGGAGGGCGCGGAGGGCTCGCGCGGCGGGCGCGGAGGGCGCGCGCGGAGGGCGCAAGCGCGCGGAGGGCGCGGAGTGCGCGGAGGGCGCGGAGTGCGCGGAGGGCGCGGAGGGGAGGGCGCGGAGGGGCATCCACGTGTCACTACTTTTTGCCCGTTAAATGTCACGCTCCATGCGCGCTCGCCCCCGAACCCGTCAACCTCCATGCATGGTCCACGCCTCCCCACGCCACGCCCCTCTCCAGCAAAATGTTCCGAACCCCGTGTCGTCTCCGCGGCCTCCTGTCAAAATTCATTCCGTCCGACCCTCCTCCAAGAAGCGATCCGATAGAACGCCTTCCGCATTGAAGCGCCAAACGAGAACCCAATTTCAGAGTTGGTTTTCGGGAAGAATCCAAGAAAACAAAGAGCACGCGCAGAATAGACGTTAAACGTCCAAGGCACAGGGGGGGGGGGCCATATCAAGGGCCCATGAAACAAAACTACCCTTAGAGACACCCGAAGCCCAAACCCCTAAATCCACAAAAGCGCTAACACATCAATCCTAAACCCCTCAACTCTCAACCCTAACCTAAACGGCATCTAGATGAGATGTGAAGCTTCCCCTAAACCCTAAACCCTGAACCCTAAACCCCAAAACCCCAAAACCCCAAAACCCCAAAACCCCAAAACCCCAAAACCCCAAAACCCCAAAACCCCAAAACCCCTAAACCCCTAAACCCCTAAACCCCTAAACCCCTAAACCCCTAAACCCTAAACCCCAAACCCCACCCCTAAACCCTGAACCCTAAACGTTAACCCTAAACGCTGAGCCATGAACCCTGAACCCTAAAGAAACCCTTCCAAGCTGCTTCTTGGACCTCAACCTTAAAACCCACAAGTTCTAAACCCGCGAGGTTTTTCCACTTCTCTAAAGTGCGGTGATTTTGGGGGAGGTCCTTATTGTAAGGCGGCCCCTCTTATTAAGAATTACCCTGAAACCTAAACCCGAAACCCAAAAAAAGATCATGACGTAGAGAACTCACCTAATGAAGCCATCCTTCCCTGAATCATTTGAACCCTAAACACCCAAACCCCTAAAGCCTGATCTGGATTCCTAGACCCTAAACCCTAAACACTAAACCCTTAATCCCTTCAACCCTCCAGCGCAAAGCTTCAAGACACTGCAACCCCTGCACCCAAATCCCGCAAGGCCTAGAACGCCTGAAGCCCTACAAAACCCTAAGCGGTTTAGGGTTTAGGGTTTAGGGTTTAGGGTTGAGGGTTGAGGGTTTAGGGTCTAAGGGTTTAGGGGTTGGGCACTCCAGGGACTCCCTGGGATACTCTGGGGTGGGATACGGGTGATGGGCGAGGAGTAGACCGGGCGAGGAGAAGAGTCTTGCTTAACATCTCATTGAAATCCCAGCCCCTAAACCCTAAACCCTGAACCCTAAACAGCCCCCCAATAGATCAGCCCAGGAAGCCATGGTGTCTCGGATGCTCCTGAAGATCATGGCCTGCTCCGTCGGGAAGTCGGAGACGACCTGCATGGAATGTTCCGTTGAGGGCTTTAGGGGGTTTAGGGTTTAGGGTTTAGGGTTTAGGGTTTAGGGTTTAGGGTTGAGGGTTGAGGGTTGAGGGTTGAGGGTTGAGGGTTTAGGGTTTAGGGCACAGCAGCTCATGTCCTAGCTTCCACTAGTCGAGCTTTTTCATCTTGTGACGGAGAAATACCCAGCCACCCAGAGAATCCCATACCATTAAGAAAATATCAAATTGCCATTTTCAGATGCATCTTAATTAAACCCTAAGCCTTGAAACTCTATACACCTAGACCCTAGCCCCGGCACACTAAACTCGGGCTGCACCCCTGACCCTAATGCCTTAATCCTAAGTCCTAAGTAATGGGCTGAAATCCTGAAAATCTGAAAAGGGTTTGGGGGCAGAGGAGGGGGGGGGTAAGGCGGTGGTAAATCAACCGAAAGGGGGGGAGTGAGGGGAAAAAAGTGGGGGGAGAAAAAAAAATGTAAAGTTTAAAAAGGGGGGTAGAGGGGGGGGGGTGGACAAAAGAGTTGGGGGGGCGGGGTGAAAGGGGTGAAGGGAGAGGGAAGGGAGGGGGGGGGGATTTGCCTTGCCGACTTATAAGGTTTGTGCCTTGCCGACTAAGGTTTGTGACTTTCTCGGCAAGGCACGCTGAACCCAAACCTTTAGTCGGCAAGGCAAACCTTGGTCGGCAAGGCAAAACCCTTCGTCGGCAAGGCACGAACCTTCGTCGGCAAGGCAGTCGGCAAGGCACGTGTGTGCCTTGCCGACGAAGGTTTGTGCCTTGCCGACGAAGGTTTGTGCCTTGCCGACTAAGATTTGTGCCTTGCCGACTAAGGTTTGCGCCTTGCCGACAAAGGTTTGTGCCTGTCCCGACGAAGTCTGTAGGGTTTAGATATACATATATATATATATATACATACATAGTAAGAGAGGTTTAATGGTCTGGCGTTTAGGGTTTAGGGCTTGGGGCTTCTTGGAATTTGGGGGCTCTTGGGGCTTAAGGATTTAGGGGTCAAGGGTTGCAGGATTGTTCAGGGAGTTCGGGGCTTATAGGGGTTAGGAAACCCTAAACCCTAAGTTCCCTAAACCCAAACTTAGGGTGACAAGTTTAAGCCGAAGGCAAGCCGGACCCCGACTTCAAGCCCTACAGCCTATCCTTTGCGCATTGCGGCTCGGAAAGAGGGCGAGCCCAGAATAAGCTAGGGGGGTGTAGGGTGCAGGGTCTAGGGTTTAGAGTTTAGGGCTTAGAGTTTAGCGTCTAGGGGTTAGGGCCTAGGGTTTCGGGTTTAGGGTGTATGGTTTAAAGGGGTGTCTTGGGCCGTTTACATTCGTTGGCTCCTGCGCTCCTAGACCCCTAAATCCTGAAACTCGAAACCCAGCGGGGTTCTAAAGGGTGCGTCACTCATTCCTTACGAGACCCGTCAAGTTTAGCTTGGCGCCAGCAACTGCACTGATGTCGGGCTTTGAATGTCGACCGCAAGTGCAGACCCAAAACAGCAAAACACGTCCTTACATGCATGCCAAGACTTTGCACAGGCAACAAAACAAAAGCTGCATACGCGAGACCCAACAAGCGCCTTTCAAAACGCAGGTGCTCAACGTGAAAACCTAAACCCGAACGGCGACGTGGCAAGTGCCCCCCTGAAGGGGCGCCGGGTGGAACTTCGGAACGCCAAGCGCTGCGTTAAGAACAAAAACTTCCTTCGTCAGACACACTCCAGCCTTGCAGCATGCCATGCTTTCTGGGAGTCAGCTCCTCATACGTTAAAACGGTAATGGTTCGTTGTTTGGTACATCCGAAGCCCGAAGCGATCAATGCACTTAATTAGGAAAGGTGTCCACCTCAAATCGCAAAGCGGATCTGGGCAACGAACCGAGGGTGCAAAGCGCGCAACGCCCTCAACCCTAAGCCCTGTGGTTTCAACCCCAAAACCCAGGCGAAGGGGGCGGGATCCTAAACCCTAAACCCTAAACCCTAAACCCTAAACCCTAAAAGGGCACCTAAATCCCTTCAACCTCTGGCAGGCCGACCCAGGTTGCTTTCCCCTGTGCTTCAATCTGAGCACCCCCTGCAGGCCCCTGGAAACCAACGAAGGCCCCAAAACATCTTGGGGTGTAGGGTTTAGGGTTTAGGGTTTAGGGTTTAGGGTTTAGGGTTTAGGGTTTAGGGTTTAGGGTTTAGGGTTTAGGGTTTAGGGTTTCGGGCTTCTCGGGTGGGGGTGGCTGGCCGCCTTAGACGGTCTAAAAAAGGACAAGCGAGACACCCGATTGCTCTCTTGAACCAGCTGGGTCCCAGAATGGCCACTGAGGAAGATGGCCGCCCTTTTGTTTGGTTTCGAAGGATGGCTAGGCTAGGCTGATGTTGTGCTCATCGTACTGTCAGGCGCTGTTTCGAGGAGAGGCCGGAGACGGCGAACTCTGTCGTATGCTGCAAAGCGGGACGCTTCCCGAACCCATGCACAAACCGACGGCTACTATTGCATTGTACGTTACATGGGCGGGCACTGTGCTGAGGGGTCCCCGACCACCCACGACCGACAGCGAACTCTGCCTTTTGCTGGGGCCTCCTTCAAAACCGACGGAACAAAGGCCACATGAACCCTGTGACTCCTATACTCCCCTTAGAACCTCAATAAAAATACTATTTTTTAATATCCTCTCGGGTTTTATATACACAAAAAAAAAAAAACAATTCCCAAGGGGGATGTAGACTCCCCGCCCAAGCCGGACTCTGCACTCAAAAGGCCCAACCTCAAACTTCTTGAGGAAGCCCAGAAAAACCGAGGTGCAGAAAACGCTAAAAAAAAAGGGAGACCCAGCAAGGACCCTCGGCTTTCTCGCCACTCTCAACCATACTGTATCAACCCCAAGACCCAAACCCAAAAACCCCAAAACCACCCTAAGACCCAAAACCCAAAAACCCTAAGACCCAAAAAACCCAAAAACCCTAAGACCCAAAAAACCCCAAAACCCTAAGACCAAAAAGCCCTCAAAACCCAAAAACACCCAGAACCCTAAGACCCTAAGACCCTAAGACCCTAAACCCTAAACCCTAAACCCTAAGACCCTAAGCCCTGCCCACAAGCTGCTGGTCCCGCCTTGTCCCACACCCCAAGAGAAACAAACTGAATCTCAGCAGGAGCCCGCAGGTCCAGCCTCAGCCATCTGAGTCCAGGGTTTAGGGTTTAGGGTTTAGGGTTTAGGGTTTAGGGTTTAGGGTTTAGGGTTTAGGGTTTAGGTTTAGGGAAGCAAAACTGAACCCCAGAGGGTCGGGCGCGCAGGTTTTAGGGCAAGCGGAAGCACTTTCGATTTGACGTGCTGGGCCTGTTCGGTGGCCCGGTAGGTTGGTTACTTCACAAGGGAACCTTGAACCAAACAAGTGAAAATGGCGCGAGGGCCACGGGGCTACCGAGCAACCCCCGGAACCCCAAATCGCATACTGGCAGGGCGCTCAGGTGGGCGTCGACCACAAGATCAAGATCAAGACCAAACGCCCTACACCCTAAACCCTAAACCCGAAACCCTAGACCCTAAACCCAAAAACCCTAAAGCCGAAACCCTAAAACCTAAAACCTAAATCCGAAGTCCTAAATCCGAAACCCCTTTTTCAATGGCACCGGGCAGTTCTTTCGCGGAGCTCAGGACCCTCGACTAGGGAAGCGGGAGGCCCCACTGGCGGGTGTCAGCCCAAGCCCATATGCTTTAGGGTTTAAGAGTTTAGGATTTAGGATTTAGGGTTTAGGGTTTAGGGTTTAGGGTTTAGGGTTTAGGGTTTAGGGGTTTAGGGGTTTAGGGGTTTAGGGGTTTAGGGGTTTAGGGGTTTAGGGGTTTAGGGGTTTAGGGGTTTAGGGGTTTAGGGGTTTCGGGGCCCCATAAGGAACCGGCTCCAGGCCGCACCCGCCCTCGATGCCCAACAGGATCTGCTCGTTGAAGGTGTCTCCGGCCCCCAGCACCTCGGCTTCGGGGCGCTTCAGGCTTTAGGGGCTTCGGGTTTAGGGTTGGGGGTTTAGGGTTTAGGGTTGGGGGTTTAGGGTTTAGGGTTTAGGGTTTAGGGTTGAGGATTTAGGGTTTAGGCTATTTAGGATTCAGGTTCGGGGGAGTTTGTGTTTGGGGGCTGCAGGGTTTTGTCTGCGGCCTTGGGGATGGGAGTTCGGGGTCTTCAGCTGGGGCTTCAAGGCCTTGTGGGGTTGCAGTCTTCCGCTCCCCAATCCCCTAGACGCCCTAAACCTTAGTTGTCCAGTAACCTGGCAGAATTAAAGGGTAACCTTTGGGAGTATAAGGGGATTCTACTACCCCAAAAAGGTTCAAGGTTAGCTACTCTACTACTAGGTAAGCCCTAGACTCACAACTCTCCTTCTTCATGGCCCTTTGGGACGATCTGAAGCCGAAGCCTTTCTTTCTCTTCTCAGGGCCAAGCCATCAAGCCAAACTCCCAAGACGGAAATGGGGGGTTGAGCTTAAGGGTTCGGGCCTGCGGTAAGGGGCTAAGGTCTAGGGTTTAGGCCTAAACCCTAAACCCTAAACCCTCAACCCGAAACCCTAAACCCTACAAGGGCTTAGGGTTCAGGGATGAAGCCTGGAGGAGTCTTGGGATGTGTGAGCAAGGGAAAGGGCATTGGTTTAGGGTGCAGGGTTTAGGCTTTAGGTTTAGGGTTTAGGGTTTAGGATTTAGGGTTTAGGGTTTAGGGTGTAGGGCTTGGGCTACTTGGAGGCTGGTTTATGATCAGGGTTTAGGAATCAGGGCTAGGGTGTAGGGTTTAAGGTGTATGGGGTTTATAGGGTTTAGAGGTAATTATATAGAGGGTTTAGAGGGTCGCTAGGGCTTGCAGGGTCTACAGTATTCATGGGATTTATAGGGTTTAGGGTTTATAGTGTTCAGGGTGAGGGTTTAGGGTTTAGAGTTTAAGGTCCTTTAGTGCCTTTCTTCCGGCTGGGGCTTGGGGTTTTGAAGGCCTTTTGGGGGGTCAAGAAGGGCACCGGAACGCTAAACCCCAAACCTTAAACCCTAAACCCTAAACCCTAAACTCTAAACCCTAAACCCTACGATGCCTCCACATCCTCCCCCTTCTCGTTCACGAGCACGACCTCTCCTGTGACATGGCTGGCTGTCAAGATTTTGGTCCCTTTTTGGATCCCTAGTATAATACGGCACCTAATATTTAGGGTACCCCAAAAGGGACTATAATTTTGATAACCACCCACATGTGGTTTTTATACGTCTTGCTGTGGCGTTTGGGCATCAGCGTTTCGAATTCCGGGTTTCGGGGACAGAAACGTTCTGCTAGATCGTGTGGTAGACCTCCCGAACCAAAGCCCCGAAGACATTTACCGTGAGACACATGCTAAGTAGGGCATAGGGTTGCTAAGTAGGGCATAGGGTTTAGGGGTTAGGGTTTTGGGCCTGAGGATCTTGGGTTTGGCCTTGAAAGGACATACAAAAAAGAGCCATCCAAACCCGCAAATCGCCCTAAGAAAACCTGCCGACCCAAGGAGAGCCGCCGAATTTACCCCCCCCCCCCCCCCCCCCCCCCGCTATGTTCTTAGGGCAATTGCATGCCAATTCGGATTTAGGTAGTTACATGGTCCCTTAATGTGGGCCCTGAATTGCCCTTCTATACCACTTGAATGCCGCCATAAAACCCAAGGGCACGTACGTACTTCGGAACCCTTCCAGGACAGTAAGGGACCATATGAAGGGACCACGTAACTTCCTCTTTTTTGATGTTCATCGGGAGGTCTTAAATTTGCGAAACTCTCAGCCCCGAAACCCCAATATGAAACCCTAACCCCTTGCCTAAGCCCTGAACCCTGCACCCTAAACCCTAAACCCTAAACCCTAAACTTCTGGGGCTCTTTGGGCGCAACATTTTCGCACTTCCCCCGCCTTCAACGATGAGAGCCGCGCACTCGTTCGCCAGCCTCGCGGGCTGAGGCAGATGCCAGGAATGTCGGGTTTGTAGGGTTTAGCGTTTAGGGTTTAGGGTTTAGGGTTTAGGGTTTAGGGTTTAGGGTTTAGGGTTTAGGGTTTAGGGTTTATAGTTTAAAGGGTTCAGGGTTCAGGGTTCAGGGCTCAGAGTTTGAGGTCTAGGATTAGGGTTTAGGGTCTGGCGCTTTGGGTGTAGGAGTGTAGCGTAATTACATGTTCCCTTAATCCGAGCCCTGAATTCGGGAACCCGTGTATACCCCCTATCTATCTCTGCTACGGTGCCCGCCCTGGGCATACAACCGCATCCTCGATCACCCAAGCATGGATGTTGCGGCAACCGCACGATGGTGAATTCTTCGACCTGACGCAAGTCGAACCCTAAACCCTAAACCCTAAACCCTAAACCCTAAACCCTAAACCCTGAACCCTAAACCCTAAACCCTAAACCCTAAACCCTAAACCCTAAACCCTAAACCCTAAACCCTAAACCCTAAACCCTAAACCCAAATCCTCTCGAGTCACTGCGACGCTCTCCCGGACGGCCATCTCGCCGACCGGCATCCTGGACCCGGACTCCGCTATGCAGATCCTCTCGCGCAAGTGTTTCTTGCAGTTCTGTTTCCGTGATTCACCTCGCTTTTCCGAGCCGCGGTTTAGGGTTTAGGGTCTAGGGTTTAGGGTTTTAGGGTTTTAGGGTTTAGGGTTTAGGTGTAGTCAGCCAACAGTCGCCAGTGATGCACCACTTCATCCGGACCCAGCAGTTCTTCCAGCGAAGAGTGTGCTGGAAACATCCGGTCGCTCGATCGATTGCCGAAAGACTAGCAAGAGAGAGAGAGAGAGAGCGCACCCTAAACCCTAAACCCTAAACCCTAAACCCTAAACCCTAAACCCTAAACCCTAAACCCTAAACCCTAAACCCTAAACCCTAAGCAAGTATGCCTCTTGACCCACCCTAAACCACGCGTTTTCCACACCATGCGACTCTTCGCCTTTCCCATGCGACGTCTCGAATTCCTGCGCCTGCCAATGCTTTCATTACTTCTGCCTTCATCTGGTTTAGGGTTTAGGGTTTAGGGTTCAGGGTTTAATTAAGGTTTAGGGTTTTAGGCTTTCTGATCCTATTTCCTTGTTCTTGTTCTTGCTCTTGTTCTCTGTGTCTGTCTGTCTGTCTGTCTGTCTGCCTACCTACCTGCCCCTCTCTCTCTCTCTCTCTCTCTCTCTCTCTCTCCCTCTCCCTGCACAAGTAGTTTGTTGGCGTTGGCAGTTCCATGTTTCAGCACACGATGGTACTTGAAACTGCCGTGGAACGAAGCATCAGGTTCAACATGCGTGGTGTTGGGGGTTTAGGGTTTAGAGTTTCGGATTTAGTGTTTAGCGTTTAGGGTTTCCGGTTTAGGGCTTAAGGTTTGAGGTTTAGGGTTTGGGCAGGGCTTTTGGACTACAGGATTCAGGGCGGTGGAGTTTCCACCCTCAAGTTCGGTCATGCGCACCCATGGTTTTGTGCTCTGAAGCAGTCTAGGAACTTGCAAAGAGAACCTTACCCTTTGGGTTGTGAACCCTCAACCCTAAACTCCAACCCTAAACCCTAAACCAAGCTCCACCGACTTGTCTAACTTTGACCTCCCACATGGCACCAAAACCTGAACATGAAAGAGCTGCTGAAGAAACGCTGACTACCTGCCTGAGCAACCCCCCGAAATACCTCCCCCTACATACCATAACCCTAAGCCCAAACCCTAAACCCTAAACCCTAAGCCCTAAACCCTAAACCCTAGTGGGGCCAGAGACAGAATTGAGTACCGGAACACGCCTGAAGCCGCCAAGAAGACTCTCCGTGTGACTCAAGGAATATTCCTACGCCCTTCAGGGTTTAGGGTTTAGGGTTTAGGTTTAGGGTTTAGGGTTTAGGGTGTAGGGTGAAGGGTTCAGGGGCCTTTTTTGGAAGATTTGGGGGGCTGGGGACAGACCTAAATTCACGACGATTCAGCCAAAAAGTCTTCCGGATCGCGCCCTGGCAAGGTCCGGCAAGTGTGAGGGAAGTCGGGTTTAGGGTTGAGGGTTGAGGGTTTAGGGTTTAGGGTTTAGGGTTTAGGGTATAGGGTATAGGGTTTAGGGTTTAGGTCTGAAAACCCAAACCATAAACCCAGAAGCCCCGATCAGACCCATGCCTCCTCCATTCCTTGTCCGCCGGGTCATACAACTGAGATCAGGCGAAGGTTTGGTCTGGGTTTAGGGTTTAGGGTTTAGGGTTTAGGGTTTAGGGTTTAGGGTTTAGGGTTTAGGGTTTAGGGTTTAGGGTTTAGGGTTTAGGGTTTAGGTTTTAGTGTTTAGGGTTTAGGGTTTAGGGTTTAGGGTTTAGGGTTTAGGGTTTAGGGTTTAGGGTTTAGGGTTTAGGGTTTAGGGTTTAGGGTTTAGGGTTTAGGGTTTAGGGTTTAGGCTTTAGGCTTTAGGCTTTAGGGTTTAGGGTTTAGGGTTTAGGGTTTAGGGTTTAGGGTTTAGGGTTTGGGGTTTGGGGCTTGGGGCTTGGGGTTTGGGGCTTTGGGATTAAGGTCTTTTTTCCGGGTATGCTACGTATTGGGTTGTATCTTGAAAGTAAACCCGACACCTCAATTTGGGGTTGGGGTTTCGGCTTTAGGGTTTGGGGTTCGGATTCGGGGTTTGGGGTTTACGGTTTGGGGTTTGGGGCTTAAGGTTTAGGGTTTGGGCTGCAGGGTTTAGGGTTCAAAGTTTTGGGGTTGGGGCTTAAGGTTTGGAGTTTAGGGCTTAGGGTTTGGGGTTTAGGGTTTGGGGTTTAGGGTTTAGGGTTTAGGGTTTAGGGTTTGGGCCCTGAATTTGGGCCCCTTGTTGTAAAACCCTTATGTACACTACCCTAAACCCTAAACCCTAAACCCTAAATCCTACATAGACAGGGCCCATACTTCGGATGCCCATAAGCAAGGGTAAGGGGCCACAGGAAGGGCCCATGGCTCCAAGCTTGAACCTCCAGCCGTGTGGGGGCTTAGGGTTTAGGGCTGGGGTTTAGGGTGGAGGGTGTAGGGTGTAGGGTTTAGGGTTTAGGGTTTAGGGTTTAGGGTTTAGGGTTTAGGGCTTGGGGCTTGGGGCTTGGGGTTTGGGGCTGAAGGGTTTCCGCGCTTCGAGGTCCGAGCCGTCAAAACCGCCTTGAGAGAGAAAAGAAAAGCTCCTCCCAAACCCTAAGCCCTGCTGTCGACCCCTCAACCCCCTCAACCCCCTGAACCCCCTGAACCCCCTGAACCCCCTCAACCCCCTCAACCCCCTCAACCCCCTTAACCCCCTCAACCCCCTCAACCCCCTCAAACACCCTCAACCCCTCAACCCCTCAACCCCTCAACCCCTCAACCCCTCAACCCCAACCCTAAACCCTCAAACCCTAAACCCTCAAACCCCGGAGGGAGGCCACCCTCGAGCCAGCGTAAAGGTTGATCAAGTAGCCCAGGCCTCAACCCGGCGGAGCTTTCAGGGTTTAGGGCTTGGGGTTTAGGGTTTGGGTTTAGGGTTTAGGGTTTTAGGGTTGTAGGGTTTAGGGTTTCTTCAGACGCTCCGGGCGCGGCGCACGGTGATTTGGAGGGTTTGAGTGCTTGGGGCCGGAGGTTTGGGATGTTCAGATTCTGGATTTCAGGCTGCGGTTTAGGGTTTAGGGTTTCGGGGTTTGGGGTTTGGGGCTTCAATAGGCTTTAGGGGTTTAGGGGCTCAGGGTTTAGGGTCTGTAGATTGGGGTTTGGGGGCTCCTTCCGGCGTTTATGGTTCAGGGTTTAGGGTTTACGGTTCAGGGTTTAGAGACCCTTGCACCCTTAGACCCTTAGAGCCCTACTGTTGAAGGGGTTTAGGGTTTAGAGTTTGGGGTTTAGGGGTTTGGGGTTTAGGGCTTTGAGGTTTGGGGTTTAGGGTTTCTAGTCTTGGGGTTTGGGGAGAGGCCTTCGGGGTTTCGGGTTCGGGGGTTTAGGGTTTTCGGCCCGCTCATCACATTTCTACCAGCGCCGTGTCTGAAACCCGGTGCAGGCTTGATATGGAGGGTTGAGGATTTAGTTTAGGCTGAGGGCTATAAGAATTATCCCCTATTGGGCCCTCACAGGAATATGTCGAGCAACGAAAGGAGGGACCCTTAAAAGGGACCTTGAGGGTAATGTAGGCGCTACCTAGGTAAATTGGGACCTTACAAGGCATATATAGCAGCGGTGAATTTAAGGGGTAGGGGTCCCTCCTTCAACTTGCTAGCCCAGCAACCATATCATCATAAGGGCACCCTTTTTGGGGCTGGCTACCTTCTAAGGGAACCTTGAACCAAAAAAAGGGTAAAGGGTACCACTGGGCTACTAAGTAAAGCGCCTCTCCCCCCCTCCCCTCTAAACCCCAAACCCTAAAAACCTGTGCACCGATAAACCCCAACTAGCAGCCCAAGAACACAGACCCTCAGCCCGAAACGCACCCATCAGTCAAGCACCTTAAGCGACCCTAATCCCTAAGCCTAAACCCTAAACCCTAAACCCTGAACCCTAAACCCTAAACCCTAAACCCTAAACCCTAAACCCTAAACCCTAAACCCTACTTGAGGCCCCGTGCGTTTCGAGGCGCACTTCTGCATTGGCCATTGGATGGCCCCACCCTCGGCTGTCGGGTCTTTCTGACGGTGAACAACCTGGTAGCCCAGTAGCCAAAACAGGGTTTAGGGTTTAGGGTTTAGGGTTTAGGGTTTAGGGTTTAGGGTTTAGGGTTTAGGGTTTAGGGTTTAGGGTTTAGGGTTTAGGGTTTAGGGTTTAGGGTTTTGGGCAGTTTAGGGTTTAGGGTTTAGGGTTTAGGGTTTAGGGTTTAGGGTTTAGGGTTTAGGGTTTAGGTTTCGGGTTTGGGGTAAGTACAAAATAAGGGCGCAGAACCGAACAACAAGGGATAAAGGGTCAGACTGGGCTCCCGAGGCCTGAGGTGGGGTTTATCAGAGCTAGCACCCTGTAGAAATCGGGGTTGAGGGTTGAGGGTTTAG